ACAACACTGTAAAATGATATGAATACAATAAAAAATGTAAAAAAAAATAAAAAAATAAAAAAAATAAAAGAAGGAGCCACACACCCTTGTTTCCTTGGATCGTTTTTCAAGGAAAGAAGATGAAACACTCTAGTACACAATGGGCACTCACAAAAAATACATCTCTGCATTCTTCTCCTGTTTAGAATCCCTGTGATGACAAACGCCACAGAGACATTTGGTCTAAAGAAAAAACCTGCGATCGCTTACCAAAATTCTTGGTAATAGGACCCCAGAAAACTGGTGAGAACTTTTTATGTTATGATTAACCAAACAGTGTAAAAATCTTGATGACTGGACAATGAGTTCTTGTCACAATGACATCCCAAACTTCCTATAAACATTGATGAATGTGTAACACATTTTATTCTCTAATATAATCTTTATTGAGCTCAATAATGTACTTAAAGGCTTGCCAAAGTTTTAAAGTAGAAAGGATAAAAATAGATGTCACACAGTTTGAATATCCAGCAGTCAATTTGGTGGCAAATATTATTTTTTCCCCAAAGATCTTAATTGAAAAGTGTTGTTATTAACATTTCTAAAATCAAAACTAATCATGTGTTTGGAGAGTGACTGGCAAGATTTCATCAAAAGTCAAGATGGAGACATAATAAATACCTCTGGCTCGTCCAGAACTTTAGCCTCTTTCTAGCATTTTCCTGATATGGTTTATTTCTAAACTATTTCTTACAAGGATGACTATTTTCTAGAAGTCTGTAAAGGTTGTTTGACAAGCAGAATTCCCAGACATAAACAAAACTTTGTGCTAAGAAAGGTATTTATCCATACCCAGGAGAAATCTTTTACACATTTTCTTAAACTAGTGTGCAATTTTTTCCCCATAAACTTCTTGCTTCTGTAAGAATCAATATTAAAATGAAGCCCAGCAGAAGCTTTAAAATGCCAGACATTCATGCTGTAGCCCGCATGGTAAATTATTTGGGGCTCTTCATTTCTAGCTTCACAGAAACCAGTATTCTCACCACATCCCTTCCAAAGGGGAATACACTCCCTTTCCTCATTTCTTTAGACATAATTGGGGAGAATTCTATGTAACACAGACAGTAAGTTTAGCCAGTTCATTTTCTCTTAGTCCCATTTACAAATATCAATCTGAAAACAATAATAAACATGGCAAACACTTCTCTTGTCCTTATTTCACTTGTCCTTATCTATTTAAAGTCAAGGAGCAACTAGAAAAACATTTAAACTGAAGTCTCTTCTGTGAACTCCCACTGTCATTACATTGCTCTGTTGTTAATGAGCATCTTTTCTGAAGCTTGGCATGTCAAGTTTGCTACAGAAAGCCCTGCAGGATAGGCTTCCTCTGGTGTTGCGCCAGATATGCAGATATGTTAATATCACGGTTGGATGGCAGAATTAGTACTTGTCATCTGAAACTCAACTGGGTTTCCAAATGTGTGTTCCAATTTGTATATGATGTTTACCTTTGGAAGGGAATTTTTACCTCCTTTTCATAGAAATTGAATTTTTCCCCAGTTTTATAGAGGTATAATTTACATGCAGTGAAATTCACCCATTTTAAACACACAGCTTGATGAATTTTGCAAATTGTACACAGTGGTGTAACCACTACAATACTCAAGGTTTAAAACACTTTTGTCTCCCTAAAAAGTTTCTCCATGTCTTTTTCCAATAAATTCCCCACCCCAGTCTCAGTCACAGACAACTTTCTGCCACTGCAGTTTTGCCTTTTCTAGAATTTCACATATATGGAAGCATGAAGTGTGTAATCTTTTGTGTTTGATTTCTCTCACTTAGCATAATGCTTTTGAGATTCATCTATATTGTTGTACATAGTGATATTTTATGAGATTATTTTTAAATAGACAAAAATATCTTCTTATATCAGTTCCATAAAAATTAAAGAGCTTCATTTTTAACTTTAGTTTTGCCAAAAGTATTTTTCTGAATAATATTGCATAGATGTATAATCATCTGGATATCCAAATTTTTTACTGTTGAAATTAACAAAAATATAAAAACTCAAGCATTTTTTTGAATGTGTTTGTCTATGATTATGTAGTTGAGACACACACACACACACACACAGGACAGTTTATTCAGACCCAAGAATATGTGTAGGTAAAGACAGAATCCAGAAACCACAACTTAATTTTTGTTCACAGCTTAATTTTTTGACTACTGATAATTTACAGTATACCTTTTACTGATTATGCAAATGATTAGATCATATTCATTTTCCATTTGTCTTATTAATGTTCATCATGCTATTAAAAGAGCAACAACATAATCTAAGATAGTTCTTAAAAATAAAATTCAGAAAAGAATGTTATCAGTAGATCTAAGAAAGGAATTTATCTATTTCCTTTTTTCTTACTGTAATAGCTATTCTATCTTTACAAACAATATTCTTTTCCATTTTTAAAATGCATTACTGAATTTTATCTCATTAAAATCGTAATTTTAAAAAATACCTCACTAATATTCAGATATGGAGCTATTTAGGTCCTTTCACACAGATTATCTCACTTGACCCTAGAAAAACACTGATAGCTAAGTATTTTTTTCCCCATTACACAAATAAGAAAACTAAGACTCAGGTTAGATACTTTTCGTTCAAGTTCACAAAACTGGTAAGTGCTAGGAATAAAACCACTGATCCTAGAAGTTACCTGACTCTAAAGATCATGCTCTAGAAAGCTTTATTGTACTATAGATTTCAAGTAATGGAACATTTTTGTTTCCCAGTAAGTTTTGGATTTTGTCCCACATTTCTTCTAAGTCAAGGATTCTCAAACTGTGCTAAATCAGAAACTCTGGGATAGGGCCCAGTTCTCTGTATTAACAGCCCTCCAGGTGAACCTGATCCATGCTAAAGTTTGAGAACCACTGTTTTAAGTCAAGCTTGTGAAGAACATTTTTAGTTCTTCATCATGGATTGCTATGTTTCATTCCCTATAGTTATCCATGATCATAGATAAAATGTTCATTGTTTGGCTCAGATATAATCTAGGAACACTGCCTCTTCCACCTCATTGTTTTAGACAATACTGCTGTTGACGGAGTTATTTTAATAATTTTTTGTTGTTGTATTGATACAGTAGATATAAGTACAGTACTAAATAAAGCTTATCAGACAGATGAGAAAATTTAAAATTTGGTACAGATGGCAGCAAAATACTAAAACTAAGCAAAGTTAGAACAGTAATTTCTCCAAGTGAGAGAACTATTACAAGGCCATTGCTAGCTGTTGACCTGGAAGGCAATTAACACGCCCTGCTCCATCAGATTGTATAAGAATGTAAATCACGTTAAAGTAGAGAAGTGGAAACAGAGGGTATATTTCTCCCTCAGGGATACTGAATACATAGAGTAGAAATTTTTTATTATGATCTTATAAACACAGTTACAGTTGCAACATCTGGTTAAGCACCTAAACTCAGACTGCCTTAATTTCTCCTGTAGCAATGTAACTAAGTTACAACCTTTTGCTTGTAATTTAGGCTCTAAAACACTAATTTAACAATTTAATACATTGCTCACTTTAAAAAAATCACACCCTTGTTCTCCAATTAGTCACAAATCTATATGGGTACCTGTGATAGGCCATTCTGTTTCCAAAAATGCAAATTCTGTTAAGTTATGTGACTAAAAAAGGGCACCAATTTTTTTTTCAAATTTAGCAATTTAAACCATTTTGACACTACTTTTTATAGGTATGTAAGCATATTCACAGTTAAACTTGTTGAAAGTTTAAATTGTCTCAAATTCAACAAGCTTAGTATTGTATAGCACAGGAAACTATAGTCAATATCTTGCAGTAACCTATAATGAAAAAGATTATGAAAATGAATATATGTATGTATATGTATGACTGAACTATTATGCTGTACACCAGAAACTGCCACAACACTGTAAACTGACTATACGTCAATGTAAAAAATAAATAAATTAAACAAATGAAAATGAAAAAAATTTTAAAAAGCTTTCAGAGGCCTAGGAAGAACTTTATGGGAGAACCCAAGTATTACTTTGATAATATAATCTTGTATTAAATAATGATAGCTTTCACTTATATGATGCTTTATTAATATCAAAATATATTTAAGTACAACTTGTCTCTTCGTCCTCAGAGAAAGCCTAGGAAATAAGCACAGCAGGTGATTTCCCACTAATAAGCCAAGACAGAAAAGCTAAAAGCTAAAGTCACAGACCAAGTCAGTGACTGAGCTGAGGTCCAAAGCAGTCCTCCCAGTTCCTGCAACAGGCCTCTTTTCACATCACACTATCCCTGTATTTTAGAATTCACTTCTTTTAAATGCTGGTTATCTATTCAATTTAATTCAAGGGGTACTTATATGTATCTGTTTGGATCATTGTAATACTTAGCTTATTAATGACTTTGAAATGCTAATAGTAGGACACTGTGTTTTCATTTAATTAATCTCCAAACCTCTGTTGTCTTTTCAGGAACCACTGCTTTGTATTTGTTCCTGGTTATGCATCCTTCCATCCTTAGTAACTCCCCCAGCCCAAAAACCTTTGAGGAGGTACAGTTCTTTAATAGAAATAACTACCACAGGGGGATTGATTGGTAAGATGGGTTATTAGTATAAATCTAAAAGTATATGTACTGTGCACAGTATAAAACTAGCACTAATATTTAATATAAGCATACAAGTTTGTAGCCACAAATAAACATTATCCTCTGCACCTTGAAAACTGATGGAATAACATGAAGAAGCACAAAAATTATTCATAACAAACTTTTCTCAGTTTATGAAGAGACTTGTTGCCTGAAAAGACTCACATGGAATTTCACTTTGCATTAATTATCTTTGATGGTAATCACAGATATAAAGTCAGAGAAATACCTAATACCTAGGAATTTCATTCCTCTCTACTCTTAAGAAAACACTTTCATAGCTTTCTGTTCTTGTGCCCTTTGCATTAAAGTGATGCTACAATTCACATACATAGTTGTCTACTTTGCTTTGGTACAAAAGGTAAATAAACAGAACTAGAAATATGTAGGTATTTCATGAGTAGTAGGAGCTATCAAAAAGCTATCAACACTATACAAAATTTAATTTTTGGCCTTGAAATGAGAAACACATCAACCGTCTTAGGAGAAGAGTTAAATTAAAATTAAAAATTAAAATGTCAAATACACACAAAACATATTAATATAGTAGGAAGAGGTGTGGCAAACAAACATGTTAATCATAAATGTATCTAGAAGTCTTTCTATTAAGGTATAAATTCTGGGCAGAAAGTGGTATAAAAGAGTAAATTCTTATAATAATTCTAGAGTATGAGCATACACATTTTGCATGTAGTTTAGCAGAAAGGTGTTCTATATTAGCCCCTCTTGTCAAATTGTATGATCTCTATTTTATACATATCAACCCCTTGAAGGTTTGCTTGTCAGTAGTCCAAAGGCAAAGCTAAAGAAATGGACTGAGTATAATCTGAGTACCTACTAGGATTTACATACATTTTAATTCTTACGTATTTCTGTGCCAGTTCTTCAGGACAGTGCTTGACACTGATTAATTGGGTGGTGTTAAGCAACAGCTGTGAGAATCAAGAAACCATCAACTGCTTCAGCTGCTGTTTGCCCACTGACTCAAATATATATGCTTGTATATAGTAGAATAAAATGATGTTAACATCAGGACTAAAGGGGGTGATTAAAACCTGCTTTAGAAGTGGAGAGGAATGCAATGCTACTTGGATTCCCTAGGACTTAAGAATATCTCTGAGAATATTCAATTTTTTTTAAAAAGCTGTTCATAAGCCAGTGATAGGTATAGGCACTGTAACAGGAACAGAAAGTCCTTTAAGCAGTTTACAAAGAAATGGCATAAGAACGTTGAAAGCAAAAGAGCAATGAAAGATTTTAATTACAAATCACTAAAAACATCCTAACTGCAAATACTTTTGATTGGCAAATTATATGTTTAATAAAAGGCAAATAACATGAATAACAAGTAATAGTAACTGCAAATGTCAGTCTATTAGCAATAACTACAGCTTTGCTCTCAAGGACACCAAATGTATCCACTGTCCTCTGGCTGGCCTTGCCTCTCTATGAAGCATCAGCCCCTCAGCAGTCCCTTTAGGAAGACAGAGCCACAGGGTTGGATATTAGTGTGTCTCTTTGTGCCAGGGCCACTTACAGAATTAGCCTAGGCACAGTAAATCTGGAGACAAGGATCTTTTCTTGGAGAATCGGGTAGAATCAGGGCTGCCTTAACTAATAGGCAGCCTAAACACAGGGTTAGGGCACAAGCAAAGCAGGGCAAATGAAAATGAGAAAACTCCATCTTTGATAAAATAGCTAAGATTTGTGATCAGGATTCCTAAGAAAATGTTTGTTTGATGCGAACAGTTAAATTTTCTATTTTTACAGTTTGGTATTATTTCTTATAATTACATGTGGATGCAGTGGCAGGTTGGAGTGATATATAGAGAGCCATCAAATCCTGTTAACATTTAGGACCTCTAAACATCTTAATCTGGCTTTGAGTAAAATCACTTGGAAATACAGGGTCAACCTAAGAAATAAATAAGTGTGGAATGTTGCAAAAATCACATCTTTCAGTTAAAAAAAAATGCTGAGGTACTATGGGAGTAGCAAATGAGGCAGGCATTTACTTTTGACACTCAAAATTTTAAACCACTCTGGTTTGCTCACCAGTTCTTTGAGTAACCTGAATTCACATTCTCCACATGTGGACCCATTTCCACCCTGGAGATAGGAAGCTGAACTCTTTTTATTTTCTTATTTATTCATCAGACATTTTTCAAGAGTCTATAAGTACCAGCCACTATACTAGAAAAACATGAGCACACAAGCAGACAAGAACTGGACCCTGCTTTCTCTGTGAGCCTCTGGCCCAGGGGAAAACCAGTACATTATAAGTCCAAGATCCAGAAATGCATGATGTTTTCAAGGCCTAAAGTATTGTAGATATTGAGGACTACTGGGAACAGTTTTTTAAAATTAAAAATTAACTGAATTCAGTACCTTCTGCCCTTCTTTTGTGATTTTTGGAGCCTTTCTCAGAATAAGCAAGACTGAGACAAGCCTGTACCAAATAAGATACCACCAGACATTTGGTATGACCTTAGCACCCCTGGAACCAGTGTGGGCATCTAAAAAGTATCCTGATACTTGGCACTTTCTACAAATAGAATATACACCAGAACAGACAGCAGATCAAACTTTGCAAAAATTTTTGTGCATGTCTTTACCCTAAAAGAAAAGGACTCCAGAATGACATATCACCAATAAAGCAATTTCCAGAAAACATAAAAGGATTTCTGTACTGCCCTGAGTTTCAAGATATCACTTTGTTGTACCAGTCAAACTCTGTAATATGACAACTGGAATCCTACTAGAAGCTTTACTATGTGACTGAAAGAAAACAGCACACTGCAAAAAGAAGTCATCACATAAATGTTAATGACACTCATTCAGTAATTATTGAACTACCTTATCTTCGTAGCCCAAAATCTTAGTGGCTTATGAATTGAAGAGGGTGTGGGTGGAGGGTGAGGCCATTATCATAAAATGTAAGGAATATCGAAGTTAAATTTGCATGTTCTCTCTAATAAGGCCCCTTTTCCTCTGAAAGATTTTCCTTGGTGCTTCAGAAATACCTATTATCATATGCTGAATTCTTTTATATTTGACATTTTACACAAATAGAATATTATATAAAATCTATTATGTCCTACATTTCTGTGCTTGAGGCCACAGGTATTCCTGTGTTCACTCTGCTGGTGATTTGAATTCTGACGTCAGTTAAGGATACAGGATCTGACCTTGGAAATTTTGATAGGATTTTCATCTGGAAATATGTACATACTTTTTAAAATTTATAATTATTCTAAAGGATATAAATGGCTTTACATGGAAAAAATTAACCAAATAGACAGTGTTTATACCAGATCTGGTCTGCACTTCGGTACTTTATAGTTGAATGTAGCAGTAGCATAATACATTAGTAGGAATGAAATTATTTTACTTGTGATGAATTAAAAAAAATGTTTTGTCTAAGTTCTTTTAAAGTGCCTTTGAACTGTACATATCATTTGTTTTGATCAAGTTTTCTTTTTGGTTGAGCACTCATATTTTTTTCTGTTAAACAGTTCTGTATTTAGATCCATTTTATACAGCTAGACTGATTATTGTTGCAGTTTGATCATTCTGCATCTACATTTTCGTTCTCATACCTTTCTTCCTGATATTAAGCAGAAAAGAAAATGTATTTAGGAAAGCATTTTCAAAACACATTATTAGTGTTCCTGTATATTTTTTCCTTGTTAACTATGTGGGACAAATGCCTTAAAGAAAAAGGCTTTTGTTTAGGAAACAAATGAATTTGTTTGTGGGACACCTTTAACATCTTCAGTTACAGAGTATGAATATAAACCAGAGTCTTATTTCGAGAAATATTCCTTTTCTAGGTATATGGATTTCTTCCCTGTCCCATCTAATGTTACCACTGACTTTCTGTTCGAGAAGAGTGCCAATTACTTCCACTCAGAGGAAGCTCCTAAAAGAGCAGCTTCTCTGGTCCCCAAAGCCAAGATCATCACCATTCTCATTGACCCATCAGACCGAGCATATTCCTGGTACCAGGTAAGGAAAATACAGACAGAATACAGCATGTAGAAGCGGAGTATGGAGAAGATAGTTTTCAGCAGTAGCCACCACCTTAGGATTTAATAAAAGAGAAGATTTGCTAGTTTATATCTGCAGAAACGTGAATAATTTTTTCTCTGTTTCTGTGGTGAAACTTTCTCCTTAAGTTTTTATTAATTTTTCATTTATTTAATAAATGCAATGAAGAAATGAAAATAAAGCAAACAAAATATTATATACTTGTACACATACCTGTGCTTCTGTACATCTGCACTTGAAAAGTAAAATGTAACCTAAAATTATTATTTTCATCTAATATGTGTAATGCTGCTTTTATTATCTCAATTGACAGATGAGGAATATAACTGATTCCCCAAAGCAGAAGTCACAGGTTTTTTTCTGAAAAGGACCAGAGAGTAAATATTTCAGGTTTCACAGGCCACGTGGTTGCAACTGTGCCATTTTATTGCAAAAGCAGCCATAGAAAATATGTAAATGAATGACTTTAGCTGTCTTCCAATGAAACTTTATTTATGAAAACAAACAGCAAGCCAAATTTAGCCCATGGGCCACACAGATTGATGACCTTGAGTCTAAAAGAACTTAAATAACTACTTGTACTCAATAAATAACTTAATAGCAAAACTAAATATAAGAAAATATAGGAATTCTCCGAAAGATGATGTGGTGTGTGTGCATGCACTCAAACACACACAATGGAATATTATTCAGCTGTAAAAAAAGAATGAAATAATGCCATTTACAACAACATGGATGGATGTAGACATTATCATACTAAATGAAGTAAACTGGATGGAGAAAGACAAATATCATATGATATCACTTATATGTGGAATCTAAAACAATGACACAAATGAACTTATTAACAGAAGATACAGACTCACAGACATAAAAAACAAACTTATGGTTACCAAAGGGAAACAAGGGGGAGGGATAAATTAGGAGTATAGAATTAACAGATACACACCACTATATATAAAATAGATAAACAATAAGGATTTACTGTATAGCACAGGGAACTATATTTAATATCTTGTACAGCTATAATGGAAAAGAATCTGAAAAAGAATAGATACAAAAAATAAATATATATATGAACTTGTCATACTGAAAGCCCACCCATTGTCCCCTGTTCTAAGCCTCTTTCTTATATATTCATTGCTGTTATATTTCTGATGTTGGTCAGAACCTAGCACAGAAACAATCACTCTGAAATAATTTAACAGACTCTAATCATAATACTTGTACATCAAATACATTTTTATTTTAATAAATCATTAAAAAAAACATGAAAAAACTGTCCTAGTGATATTTTATTAATCATCAAATGGAAAAAGTTCAATAAAAAGCAGTCAGAATTAAACATAAGAACATAACAAAATTAATAGTCAGTGTCTTTAGTGTTTAGGATCCTTAATTATCATTCGTGTTATGTAATTTAAAAACCACCTTCCTAATGTCCATGTGTTCATCCATTCATTCAATTATTTTAATGACCACCTTGTGCAAAGTATTGTTCTAAGTGTGATTTGAAGGTAAATTAATAAATATGGATGCGGTGCTCAAGATTGCCTTCAGTCTAATTGGAGAAATATGTAAAAATAACCAGTGTATAAATCAGAAAGAATTAAGTGACAGACTTCTACAGAGTGATAAAGCCCACCCAATAAAGACCACCAGGCACACAAGTTAGGTATATTAACAGGCTGCAGCAGAGGAGCCTGAACACTAGAAGAACTATTGGGCATTTCCTTAAAAAAGGGAAGGATTTGTAAGGGGGAAAATTTAGGTAAAATTAAATTGGAATATTTGATAGCACAAGCAGGGCTGTGTGTCCAGGGGTTATAGGGAGGTCAGGGCTGAAAAGTAGACGAAGGGTCCTATTTCCTTGGAAACTATAAAGTTAAGATAAATGCGGAATGTTATGTCCAAAAATCTCTTATCTGAAACTGCACAGGGGTTGCAAAAAAGGCTGCTTCTCTGTATCAAAGTGACCCACAAAGGTCTGATCCTCCAGGCAAGAGCAGGAGGTTCCATCCTCACTGATTTCAAACATCTCCATCCCTGACAGTCAATATTAGAGAATAAAGTTTCTCAGCATGGGGTCCTTTTGTTATTTAACAAAAGCAGTTTTTCCACAGAAACAGACTCACAGACATACAGAACAAACTTATGGTTACCAGGGAAGAAAGGGGGTGGGAAGGCATAAACTGGGAATTTGGGATTTGCAGATACCAACTACTATATGTAAAATAGATAAAAAATGAGCTTCTTCTGTATAGCACAGGGAACTATAGTCAATATCTGGTAGTAACCTATAATAAAAAAGAATATGAAAAGGAATATATGTATGTATATGCATGACTGAAACATTATGCTATACACCAGAAATTCACACCATATTGTAAACTGATTATACTTAAAAAAAAATGTTAAAAAAAAAAAACCAGTTTCTCCAGGTTCACAAAAGAAAGAAGATTGTCAGGAAAGGTTTTGTGGCTGGGACAGAGTGGGAAAAGGTCATATAAAGCAAATGGGATCTTAGATAGGCATGTTGATAATAATCTGCATAATAGGGAATGAGACATCCCGGAAAGCCAAAATCACGATTCCACACTAATCAGTCATGCCAAACTCCTGGAGCCATCAAGTCAAAAATACAGCAAATTGCAAACTGACTGATTTGATCTTGCACCTTTTACCTTTTCCACTGGGTATCCGGAGAAAAGAGAAATAAGCCCTAATTGACTCAAAGAGAAAGAAGAAAATTGGAGTGTGGCAACCACTTAGCCTTGAAAAATTGAGAATTTGCTGAAAAAGGAATTTCAGGGCTGCAAGCTAACAAATGTCCTAAATATTACAAATAAATCACTCCACAGTGGCAAAACGCAGGCCTTAACAAAGTCTAGTAGAGTTTGTATTATAGTAATTTGAATCTCAATTGCGGCAAATTTGCTATTCAACTCAATGTGGTAAACATCCACAAACCCACCACTAAGCCTGAATATTTATTGGTCAATTTAGGGAAAAGGTGATTTCCTCAAACCCCTGGGCCTTAGCCTGAGCCATTATGAAACACTTTCCTATTTGGATTGCTGCTTTCTGCATTTTCTGTACAATAAGTGATTCTGATTCATCGCAAAGGTTACCATTAGGTAAAATAACCTTGGCTTTTAGATGCTAGGTAGTACCTGATAAAAGCTGTGGATTTCAGATAATGAGCATGTCAGAGTTTTCAGTAGTTTCTCCATTTATATGGCTGATAGGGCTTTTCTAATCTAAAACTGCATTACTAGATGGAGCAAACTGTCTGGCAGAACTGGTAGAGTACTCTGTGCATTAAGGATATTCACTGGACATAATAAATGATTTCTTATGGGCCGAAAAGAGGGCATTAATGCAACTTTCAAAAGTTTACTTGCAGAATAAAATATATACAATAAAGAAATGACTCCGTAAAATTGGTGAAGGAATCCTTATCAGGAATTCCACCTCAACCAAATAGTTCTCAAAAATATGTTCTCATCAGTGTCATAACTTTAAGTCCTGATGCTCCAAGCAAACATTTCCATCCTTTATTAATTGCAAAACAAATAACTCTCCAGCCGAGAGGCACTCCTTCCTTTAGCTTTGTGACTTTGTTGGTTTTTAATTATTTATACCTAGGGTTCAAGTTAGTTTCATTATCCACCTTTTCATCATAGCATCAGCGATCACATGAAGACCCCGCAGCTCTGAAGTTCAGCTTCTACGAAGTGATCTCAGCCGGGCCCCGTGCACCCTCCGAGCTTAGAGCCTTGCAGAAGAGATGCTTGGTCCCAGGGTGGTATGCCAGCCACATCGAGAGATGGCTTGTTTATTTCCCTCCCTTTCAGGTATTGAGCAATAAGAATTTACATCATGTTACAATCTCATTAAGTTGATGACTTTGCCTCTAGGAGAGAGGAAATTTTTACTCAATAAAACATTACTAGCTTTTACTCTTTAGTTGTAAATGAGACCCTGGCAAAGAATATCAGCAGAGGTAAAAAAAAATAAAAAACTATCTAATTTTCTCCCTAGAAGTGTTTCAGGGTAATTCTCCCTGTCCTATTTTCTAGTGCATACCTTTCCTGATTGTAAAGAGATTCAGAAGCGTGATATTCCTGATTCTTATTCTGAGAATAAAGCTTGAGAATCTCTTAACAAGGCAAACACTGTTTTGCTTAATTAAGTGCCATTATTTCCCTTTGAATCACATTGCTGAATTTTTCATAAGTCCTCTGTTTTTCTTGGCTTCCCTGCTTCCCTCTTTTGCCTAGATTACAAAATTAGCCCCTACATTGGATTGCATAAAGCAGTCCAGTCACATCAGTCATGGGGTATGCCTATGTGTCTAGAACCATGCTATCCAAAGTGATACCATATATGCAACCATATATGGCTATTTAAATTTTTATTAAAATTATATAAAATTAAAAATTAAGTTCCTCAATCACATTAGCCCTATTTCAAATGCTCAGTAGTGATCTGTTAGTCACCACAGCTGGAGAACATGTTCATCATCGCAGAAAATTCTATTGAACGATGTTGGTATAAACTAAATAGAAATATTGGAGAAGAGGTATAAGCAAGAATTGCCTTCCAAGCTTTATGGTCCTCCATCCAGGCTCCTGGCATTTTATCTTGCTTAGTTCATCCCCTTTCTTCATCAGAGTAATAAGCAAATTCCTACTTTAAGTCTGTTGAGGAACTTATGTTCCCTTTCAGGTTCTCTGGGAGTCTTATCTTTTACTCCAAATGGATTATCAAAGCTTTCTAAAAACTTTACAGTGCTTCTCCTTCAAATGGAAACATAGAAAATGTCCTCGGTCTCACTGTACCTGGTCTTATAACCTCTCGTTTCCTACAATGCTCCTTCCCGACTTGAATCTTTTTTTTGGTCTCTTTTTAAACTTGGTTTCCACTTGTGCTTTTGTAGTCCCAATTCTTAAGTTCTCTTGGTACCTTCAAATGGCTTTTTTGTTTTCATTGTGTTTGCAGGACTCCTCAGAGTACAAAACATGAGTGCATTTCATTAGTGTGATTTATTTTTTATTCCAGGTCATTAATGAGGATGGCCTGGTTATGTCTTAAAAACAACGCATGCAAATCCCCTTGGTACAGTGTCTCTCGCTGAATAAATTCAGAGTGCAGAATTTTTTTTATTGTACGGTGACATGTCTTTTTTCAATGTGCATTGTCTTTTTTTATTTCCTTTGTAATTTAGTTGCTAATTATCGATGGACAACAGCTAAGAACTGATCCTGCTACTGTGATGGATGAAGTCCAGAAGTTTCTAGGCGTTTCTCCTCATTATAATTACTCAGAAGCTTTAACGTAAGTTTATATTCTAATTAATTTATTGAAGTTTCAGCAGAGACCTGATTTTCAAGAAACTGTAGTTTGGTGATGCAACTGTTGAGTTAGCTGTTCCTTACCTCCTGATAATTTTCCAGTTGACCTTAACCACTTGGGAAAGAACATTTCAACAGTGTGGCAAAGAAATGTCCAAAATCCTCTATTGATTTCTAACTATGAAAGATTTCCCCTGGAAGGAAAGTAGAGGAACAAAACTGTTGTAACTCTTAAGACTACAACTAACCTTGTAAGAGGCTACTTAAAATAAGTCTGAGTCTATTTAAAAGACAACACTGGGACGTCTTGGAAGAATAAAAAGGTGATTTATGAACTCCTCTCTCTTACGTGTAATTTTCAAAAACAATGTCATACAGCAAGAAATAGTCCAATAGATGACTGACACAAATGTGCTATGGTTACTCTTACACATTCTTGCATTGTTTCCTTGTCTACCCACTGTAGGTCTGACCCTGTCAGGCCTCAGCGGCTTCAGCTCCGGTTTGGTTTTCTTTCACTGGTTCCCTCTTAATTTCCTAGGTAATCAACTCTCATCTGGGTGGGGACCAGGGTGAGGCAAGAGAGGCACTAGGATTTAAGCAGGCACTCCCTGTCAGGACTCCACAGATGCCTGAGATTACTCCACAGATTACCTCACCTTAATCCTCACTCTGGACTTGATCTGGCATTTTACATCAGACCTCCACCTTGTTTTGTCCATTTATAATGGTTGCCAATCAGTTACGAGGGTGCCTTTGTTCCTATTTCATATGCAACTGGAACAAGTTAACTGTTAGATCCTGAGTTGGACGAGCAGTGGGCCTGGCTCTCACTATAATATATATATATATATATTTAATTTTAGAGTGATAGACTGAGCTTTAAATAAACCAGGTAAGACTCTATTGTGGAATTCATCCATTGTGTTTCACAGTATAAAATGCAGTTCTATAGGTCAACTGATAACCCTCTTTTCATCGTACTCTTTATGCTACAGCAGTTTAGAAAGTGAGAGGCAGGATTCCTTTCACCACCCCTTACGGTAAAAGATTGGCAGAAAAACATCAAATACTGCATACATCTTGCACAAATCATATGTAGAGACATGAGAGACATTTTGATTTCAAGAACAAAGGAATAGTTGGTACTTGAGTTTTGAGCTTCCCTCCTAAGAGTCACTTACTTTGTTACTATTAACCGTCTGACCTCTGTGTTTTCTGTCGTGCAAGTACTATTAGAGCTTTGTAGAGCTTAGTTGAAGTACTAACACAGACACCAGCCTCAGGTATTTAACTTTCAGCTTGACCTTAAAGAAAGCCGAGTAATTTTTGCTTCAGTTCGCAATTCAAGTCCACTTTCTGCTTTGTATCTTTTTAAGGATCTCTTAGAAAAGAAAGCTTTTATTTTCTAAACAGTTTTCTATTTCAAGTTAGCTTATCTTTGGGTGGTCTTTTTTTTATAGAGTATCTAGCAAAGCACTGTATTTCAGGAAGAAGGAGTGGAGTATTCCATAAAGACATAATCTCTTTTTCTTACGGAATGGTCCTTGACCTGCATGCTGTGGATTTGTCCCCTTCGCATCCATCTCAGCGGCAAGCTTTTTATTCACCACCACTGCCGAGTTAAGGGAGTGTAAACTTAAGAGAAATTAGTATCAAAGCAACATACTATATACAAAGAACCGTGGGTCACTTTGCACCTGGGATGTACCTGGCTAAAATTACCCGTTATGTGATTGTCTAGCCTGGTTGGGGGCTCAGTGGGTGAAGCAGCAAGATAAGATGTGTGTAGTCTCTGAAACCACAGTATCTGGCCCCACAGAGCTGCCCAGGCACTCATCCTGCTGATAGAGATAATGTACTGCCATTCAGTTTCTTTTTATGTTTTCCTGTCAATCCATTGGCCTGACATACCTTGTAAAAACCAGCAGTGTACCTGTTGTAGAATATTTGGAATTTCCTGTCATTGACTTAGGTCTAAATCCTCCTTCACCCATGCCCTTTGCAGTTACTCTGAATCCTGCTCTTAAAATTTAGTTACTCTCACTGAAGTAACTGTACAGGTAAATTGTTTCTGTGGTACGTCGGACGTGTTGGAGATGACTGGGTGCATTAAATGTAGGTTCTCAGGAATGTCATTTGTTGCTTCATATTTTTCCTACTAGTGATGAAAACTACCTCTTTGCTGCCTTAAAAAATTAAAGTCCTCTGAGAATACACTGAACTACAAACAGATATGAATTCTCAACTAACCACATAAATCCAGTTCTTTGCACACAGTAGAATAAGTGAATGAAACTAGGTCTGTGCAAAGGTTTGCCATGCAATCTTGGCATAAAAGAGTACTCCAATTTAAGAGATCTATAAACTTACTATCTTTAATACTAAAAAAAAAAAAATCCCATTTCAAAAGAATTTTCAAGAAAAACGGCAATAAATTTCCATTGTTAAGAGTGTTATTTATTCCTTTTCACAATCACTACAGGAAGTGTTCATACAGTCATGGGTAGTCTAAAATATCTTAAAATCACTTCGTGCCGTCATCATGGATTTTAGAGGACATATTGAAGATGTAAAAAAAAATCTGATTTTCTGGAGTGTGGTTGTGATCTGAAATAAGCAGTATAAGCTTTAAAATATATAAATGGGAACTTTCTCATTCAATTAAGTAAATTTACATTTTTTAATTCTTGTTCAATATAACCTTAATCTCTAAATTATAAATAGAATTGATAAACTGACCTTACTTTAGCTTGCATGTTATGTATCATCAGGTGTTTCAAAACTGTCTAATCATTTAAGTAAAAAATAGGAAAAATAATGCTCAGCATAGAATTTCACTAATTTGTATAAACTAAAATGAAAACTATAAACTTTTATTTTTCCCATGAATGTATCCATTCACAATTATATCTAGTCATCAATGGCCACTTCACAATTACAAATACTAGTTAGCTAAATACCTGAGCCAGACATCTTTATTTCTCAGTGATTTAACCTCTTTATTAGCATGAATGAAACCAGACTGAGTTATATGAATTTTTAATAATAATTTACTATGAAAGCTAATAAATGAACAGTAAGGATTTTAAGGCCAGGAGCTGAATGAAGATTGTGTGTTTATTTTGTTTTGTTCTGTGGATGGGGCTTAACTAAATCATAAAGAACTGAAGCTGCTTCACTTGTTTCTAGTATCACTTCCCCTGGCAACCAAATTAATATTCTAATCAATGGGAATTCTTTCCCATTTTAGATGAGTTTGAGTAAAATTGTGCCCAATTAAAACTTTTTTTAATAGCAAAAGCAGTACCCATTGTAGCAAAAATCTGTTGGGTCTCTAGACAACCTGTGAAACAGCACCTAGAAATGCCTAAGCAGTAAAAAAGAAAATAATTTTTATTCCAGTTTCTTACAAATTTGTTTTTAAAAATGATTATAGCATTTCAAAATCAGTATACATTTATAAGTTCTAAGTATTTCATATGTATTGCTTCATAACACTATGTAATAGGAATTATTTGGTCGTTTTTCAAAACCAGGGCACAGAAAACCTAAGCTCAAAGTCACTCAGCAAGTGAGGCAGGAGTCCTCTGAAGCCTACAGGGCCAATCTATTAGGCTCTTCATATTGGCACAAGACGTTAGAACTAGAGAAAAACAATATTGTGAATTTTTACTAATGAATAGTGTAACAGAAAGTACTTCCTTTAAAAAACTGAAACCTTAAAATCAGCTTTTAACGTTCTCAGACACTGTTATAAAAAGAATCTATCTCCAGGTACACTGTCAGTTTGCATTAATAAATATGTAATCATGGCACTATGCAAATTAAAATTACATTGAGATACCATTAGAATGGCTGTAATCCAAAAGACAATACCAAATGTTGGCAAGAATGTAAAGAAACTGGAAACCTCATATGTTACTGAAGGTAATGTATAATATATGGCCACTTTAGAAAAGCAGTTTTGCAATTTCTTAAAAATTAAACAGAAGCATATAAATAATCCAATTCCATTCCTAGGAATCTACCCCCAAAGAAATGAAAATCTACGTCCACACAGACTTGTTCGCAGCAGCATTATTCATAATAGCCAAAACCTAGAACCAATCTGGTTAACGGATTTTTAAAAAATTGGCATATCCACACCTCAAAAAAAAAAAAAAGAAATGTTCAGAAGAGATAAATTTTGAGACAGAAAGCAGATGAGTGTTTGCCTAGGGATGGGGGTGACAATAGGGATTAACTTCAAAGGGCTCTAAGGAATTTTGGAGAGGGAGGTGGAAATGTTCTAAAACTGGAATATTCTAAAACTACACAGCTATATAAATCTGCTACAGATCACTGAATTGTACACTTAAAATCAGTGTTATGATATGTAAATTATATCTCAAAAAAGCTGCTAAAATACAGAAAATAAACTTATGGTTACCAGTGGGGGAAGGAAGTGGGAAGGGATAAATTGGAGTTCAAGATCTGCAGATACTAACTACTATATATAAAACAGATAAACAACAAGTTTCTACTGTAGGACAGGAAACTGTATTCAATATCTTGTAGTAACCTATAATGAAAAAGAATATGAAAACGAATATATGGATATACATGCATGATTGAACTATTATGCTGTACACTAGAAATTGACACATTGTAAACTGACTATACTTCAATTTTTCTAAAACAGCTGCTAAAAATAAAATATGTATCAGTAAAATGGTTCATTACATCATAAATTCTGTTTATAGAGAGGGAACAGATTTTTAAAAACTTCTGTGCTTGTTCCATATTAGTTAACACCTAAATAATGGTGTTTTGGCTTTGAAATTTACTTGCACTATTTGCAATTCAGTATTCTTTCACAGACATGTTATTTCAATGTAAAGATATTTCAAACATTCTTGAACTTTCTAAGTGTAATCTAAATGCTCCCTAGGATTCACCTTCCCAAGAGTAAAATTAAAGTCACATTTTCATTAACATAGAGATATTACCAGTTGGAGGCTGAATCATTGGAGAATCTTGATTGTTCCTGCCCATAAGTGTCTTCCACTTATGGAAATAGACTCATGGACAGAGAATACAGACTTGTGGTTGCCGGGGCGGTGGAGGGTGGGAA